TCTTTAAGGAACGCAAGAACTAGGGAGAATAATTTAACTCAAAATCATTTGATAATGTGTAGATTGTTTTTTTTCTATACATATATCCCCTAGGTCCCACTTCCCTTTTAATGTAGAGTAAATTAGCTAAATAGCCAAAAATTTAGCTATATTTAGAAAAATGACAAAAATTGTGGGGATTCCTTGAAAACGTCCTAATAATTCAAATATGTATATATATGGAAGAAGGTTAGAAACTCCGTCTCATGCCCCCATCCTTTAGTAAAATCATATAAAGTTTATGCTTCATGCTATACCATATATAAGTGTTATAGTTCAAGTGGTTAGGAGCTTTTCTTATATAGTGTGTCTTGAACGAGGTATTAAGTTCGACAAGGCCTCACATTTCAAGTTTTAAGTTGTATTTTTTTATTTTTTGAGGAGTGCCATATTTTAATTCTGAAGACATTAGCTTCTTCTTGGCCCTCGCCACAGTGTAACTCATCATCTTGTGAAAAAGTAAGTCTGTAAACATCTTAATTAGATGTATTTCGATAAATTATAGAGTAAGCCAATAACAGTGCAAAATTCTAAAACAAAGTGGTCTGTTTACAACTTTGGATTGGTTTAATTTTTAAAAAATTAGTGTATCAGATTTTATACTAAACTAAACTACTGTATGTTGTTCCTTGGTTTAGTTTGGTATAAAATTTAGTTTATAGGTTTTAAGTGGTGATGTTGAGGGATTCTCCACATGGCCAAGAACCGTTGATTAGGTAAGTCTAAAGAATGAGTCTCCATTTTCATGACACAACTCTATAAAATCAATAAACTAACTATACCATTGATATATAAAAGAAAAAAACTACCATTGATAAATTGCCACTCTTTGACATGTATATTTTTTTTGAACCGTCTATTTCTTTGAAATATTTCTTTAGATGTAAGATTCGTATATTTTTGCCATTTGCAAATTTAAATTGGATATACGCGGTAACGAATGTGTATATATTATATATGCATTTGCTTAAGAAGGCGTCAAGTCAATTCAATTAATAAAATTTTGTTAAATAATTATTCCCGGGATATCCAACATTTTCTGAATTTATAACAGCATGAGGGATGAGGCCCAAACTTTAATGAATGAGTCGCATTCATTATGTTCCATGAAATAATGAGACATTCGTTATTCCATATTAAAAGAAAAGTTAGTTAAATAGTCATGAATATTGATTAATGATCAAATTGCAAAAGCATAGTTAAAAACAAATCAACTTACATTTCATTTTTGAACGATTCAGCTAAAATATAATTCTCACACTCGCATATATTTTATAGATAACGTGCTAATAGATAAAAATAACATTTGAGTTATTTTGTACAAAAACTGTGAGTCCTGGATCTGGTACGATTCAGATCACACCAAAATATGAAAATCGAAGACGAAAAATAATCGGAGCGAGATCAATGGATGAGATTTGTTAATCAAATTCAAAGTGTAATCGAAACGAGATTGCACGATGAGAGATATCAGTCGGCGATCAAGGAGTTGTCGGAGCGAGCTCCCACGATGAGAGATGATAATCTGGAATCAAGACGTTATCAGAACAGCGAGTTGATTCGAATAATACGTTGATCGAGAAAACTAGTTCGCAAGATGAACTAGTTGAAGGAAAAATGTTACGTAAGACAAACGGTTAAGTAAGAAAGAAACAAGTTTATTGCGTATCTTGCTAGAGAGTTCAGTATCTCCCTTCTCTCTAGTTTAATTTCGTATATATACTTCTTACAAGACGCGAGAATTGCGTTCCCACATTACAATCTCATTCAATTCTCTCAACTCCTTTTTGACTTAGACGTTACAAGATTTGAATGTAAAACGAACTTCCTATCTTTTCATCCCGTGGACATCACTGACCTCGCGGACCTCTTCCAATCTAGGGCCCAATTTTACTCGTAAACTCGCGGCCCATATTTGAGACCTCGTGGATAAGGATAAAACCGGTTCCAAGTTCTGTTAACCAACCGACACATTATTCTCTTGTTCGCGAGTTGGGCTTTTTTAGTGAAATTTGGCTATCTCTGGAACTGGATCCCAAGTTGCAAGGTTAAATCTCTTTATATAGAATCCGATGGCAACAAAAACCATTTTATTTTGATGATATAAATGCTCTATTTAGTTGACAAACAAAAAAAACTCAATTTTGATTATCGTTACATTCTTTTTTTTTTTTTAAATAACGTAGTGTAATACTAACGCTATAACTTATCAAAATAAATACTAGTTCATCAATAAGATCTATTATGCGGGTTTGAATTCGAATGGTGACGCATCACTACCACAAATCACTAGGCTACTTTTTTGTCTGCTAAATTATATTTACGTTTAATATCCCAAAATCCAAGATGATTAAGAAGATTATTTAGCGTTTGATATGAGGGTATCTCTATCTCCACAATTTGATTAGACTAATCAACATAACTTTTAAATCCATAATCAAAAGACGTTAGACCCAATATGCATTTACTATTTACTAATACAAAATAGATCCATATTTTTCTACTATTTGATGATTTTCTTAACCGAGTCTTCTAAACCAATGTATAGAATAGTCACGTTATAAATTTTATTTAGTAACTCGAGTTATTTTATAGTAACAGTTTAGTTAATATATACACTTGAAGACGGCCGACTCGTTCCTGTGATTCCTCTGGCTCGTCACGTCGCCACTCTATATCGAATTCTACACCTCTTGAAACTTTTTATATAGAATCTCAAGCGGATTTTCACAAAAAAATCTCATGTTGAAATATTTAAAATTAAAAGCAAGTAATATAGATTAGTGGTGTAGTTGATAAAGTTCTTGAGTTAGAATTTGTCTTCAGGAATAGATTATTAATGTTGTAAGAACCTGTCTCGAAGAATAAATGATTTACTATAATGTAGTCTTGAGGAAGAACGTGGTCGATCGAATTGACAAAAGATATAAATAACCGTATGTCTAATCATATGACATGTTGTAAATCCATCAAATGAGATCAATCTAAGTAAAAGAAAATTCCCAAAAAAAATCCACGATGGTGACAACAAGTGTAGGACCACAAGTGTTCATTAATTTCCGAGGAGAAGAGCTGCGTAACACCTTCATCTCTCATCTCCATTATAGACTGAGACGCGATGGGATCAACGCTTTTATGGACAAGGATGAAGACGCTGGCCAAGATCTCAATAACCTTTTCAAAAGGATCGAGCAGTCGGAGATCGCATTGGCGGTTTTATCGAGTAAGTACACGGAGTCACATTGGTGTTTGGAGGAGCTAGTTAAGATAAAGGAATGTAGCATGAAAAGTGAGGGGCGCAATAACAAATTATTGGTCATTCCAATCTTCTACAAGCTGAAGACATCCACGGTGGCGGAACTCGATGGAGACTTCGGTCTTAATCTGTGGAATCTCTGGAGGTTGCCTGGTCCCGGTCGTGATCGAGACAACCGGATCGTTAAGTGGAACGAGGCTTTGGAGGATGTTCTCAGCAAAAAAGCCTTGATATGGGCAGAAACAGAAACCGGGTACGTATTAGTTTTATAGTATTTTCATTGTGCAAAAATTTAAGTATTTAGTCTTAGATTATTACGTACTAGTGATGGGAATTAAAAACATTTCATATTATAATAGATAGAATCGAAATGAAGGAATGAAGGCGAGCATGGTAGTCTTGTTATAGAATTATTCTTAGGAAATATTAGAAGATTCTTTACAATAGTCCACTGGAAGAAACTAAAAGCTTGCACTAGAGATAAGAAATACTAGACTTATAGCCAATTCTCTATATATTAATTGAAGAGATTAAGTGAAAAAATCATATGTGTCACACAATGAAGATTTTAAGAGACACAACAATTAAATTAACCAATCAAAAAATTCCAGTTAATTCTATATGTCATGGTGAAAATCTCTACTTATTTACATTATATTTTTTAAAATGAACTCACAAATACGTATGTTACTCATTTAAATTCAAC